ATTGATAATTTTTAATTGTTAAAAATTTATATTAGTTAAGAGTAATTTAATTCTTTTAAGCATACTTGTAATTTGAGTTCATCGATTGAGATATTTTAATTTTTAAGCATGCATGTATGTAATGTAAATTATGCATATGTGATATGCATTGGGGATAGGTTGATAAGGAAATAATGTTGATGTATCTGTAATTCAATGATGCCATGATTTGCCTCCACTTTGTGCACATGATTAGTTGTTTGAGAGCTTTAGTTCATAATACTTACCTAACTAGATTTGCTAAGGTGGAATGTGGGACAGTGAGACCTTCTTATTGGATTCTTTAAAAAGGAAATCCATGGTATGAGCTTGAGCTCTGTACATTTAGCTAGGTACATCTCAAGTAATAGAGAAACTTTGATCAATCAAGTGTGTGGGCCAAATCATAGTTAAACCCATGGTTTTGGTTAGCGATATAAAGTTGAACAAAGTAATAAGGGAGATTACTAGTATTGCATATTAATATGTTGCATCAAGTGATTATTAATGATGCCCATGACTGAATAATTCTCATAAACTTATTGGTATATCTGTTGTATATTTGTGTGGTTATAGTTTGTGTTTATATGGTTAAATTTTATATTATTGAGGCATTAAAGCTCATTTGTTTTCTTTAGTATTTTAGGTAAACTTAGAGGATCCATGGAGAAGTGTTTGTAAGTTTGGGACTTACCTTGAATAAGCCTTAAGTCTAATTTTATTTACAGAATAATCATTTGTCAGTATAAGACATGTTTGTCATTTGGGTTTGCTTTAATAAATTGTTTATTATTTATGTATAATGGATAAGAATATTGTTAGTTGAGATATGAAGCTATAGAAATTGCATAACTGATTTTCTAGAGTAAATATTTTATCATACAAGTTTGGTATCAAAACTTTTTATTAAAATAAATATTTAAATATTTGTAATTAAATATTACACTCATGTTTGCGAGCTTTAAAAAGCCTAAACCTTGTGAAATTAAATTTTTTTAAAACTTTTTTATTGATCATGGTAGACTCTTTTCTATCATGATAGGATAATGTTTATGGTTTTAAATTGTACAGTCAAATTTTTATGACTTTGCTAGCCTTTTTATTACTAGTTTAATCTTTTTCTACTAAGATTAATTTTTAAATATCTCTTTATTAGATAAATATTTTATAACTATGGTAATTCTTAAAAATAAGTTTAACTCTTTTTTACCATGATTACCTTTAAGAAAAATAAATAAATTTTAGAACTGATTTTAAGCTTTTATACCATTGTAATTATGTTTTTTGAGGAGTTTAAATTTTCTTTATTATCATGATATTTGATTACGTTTTTTGTTAGTATGATTAGGGTGTTACAATTATCATCTCAATATCTCATTGCTGATTCTCACTCATTCAACACTTTAACGGATACTGCAAATTTCAATATGCACAAAGCAGTAATTGAAGAAGTGCCAAGTATGAATTTGAGGTTATTTATTTGGGGCCTTCAGATAACATTTGCTAGCGCGCATAGATAATCAAGAAAGCAAAACTTTTGCATCTCAGTTCGTTTGATGTTCAACCCACTACAAGTTACTACGCTATATCTGATGTAATTTTGCGTGTTAGTGATATTTTCATCAAATGTTAAAATCCTACTTGATTATAATTGTTATAGATTTTAGTTCACATTCTTTTTGGATAAAAATATATTTTTAATTCTCTAACTTTAAATAAGATTTCAATTTAATCTTTTAATTTTATAAAATATTTTTTAGTGTTCTAATCCTAATACTATTAATTTCAAATGATGGTTTTGTGTCAACAATTGCTATTTTTAAAAATTAAATGTAATATGTTAAATATTTAAAAATATTTTGTCAAAAAGTTCACTGACAATATTGTTTATTAATGAAACTACTAGAAAATATTTTTTAAAATTAAATGATGAAAATGAAGTTTCGGTTGAAGTTAAAATATCATAAAAATACAAATTTGCCATCGTTTTCAAAAACAAAGAGAGATAGTATCATAATTAGAATGAAAATGTTAGATTTATATAGTTTAAATTTACTATAAACAAATTAAACATTGACAGAGCATGCTCGTCTTCAAAGTAAAACCATCTCACAATAAAATATATATTAACTGTAAGCGTAATCAATTAATCCACGTATGTAAGAATTATTTTATTCAGAGTGTCCAAATACATAAATAAGTATATTTCTGCTTGGACTTTGGACAGTCATCATATCGTCGCCGGAGAGAGAATTTTCCGTGTGGTTATCTTCTTTCTTTCTGAGCAAGTGCGAGTTCGTTCAATATTTTTTAATTTTTTTAAATTATTTACTATTTATTTTATTCGGTAGTGGTGGCTATCTCCACGTAATAAGTTCTTTTATTACTGTATAAACAAACTGAACAAAATTGAAAAGGAAATGTTGAGAGCAGAAAGAACAAATAATGGTACCAAAGAATGGTTGAAGCCAAAACAGATAATTTTTAAGCCATTTATAAGTAGAAATACTGTATACAAAGAATAACCCTCATTTGAATGTCATAATATTTAAATCTAATAAATGGTAATATTGAATACGAGATAATATGTTATATCTTAATAATATACTCCCTACCTTCAGAAATCAATAATTATCTTTTTTTTTATTATGTTTAAAAATTTAATAAATTTTTAACTTTGTTCATATTAAATATACATATTTTAATAACATACATCCTTTGTCCTATTTTATAAGACATTTGTGAAGGTGATTTGGTATCTCAAAATATAAATTATTTTTAAAAAATAATGTTTTATTATCAATAATTATCTCAATATTACCCCCTCATTATTTCACTCCTTAAATATTTCCTTTGGTTCATATTACAGGCACTTTATATATGAATTTTTTTTCCTTATTAATACAAGGTATTTATTGGGTTATTTATTACTGTTGTTCAATTTTACCTCTGATACAAATTTAATTTTATGACTCATAGCATATTATGCATCTCTAACTTTCTACTTTTAATAGGGGTAAAATTAAATTTTTTATTTTAAAATATATTTAATGAGTTGGCTATCATGATTTAATCCCAGCGCCTTATAATAAAGACAAAAAAGAGTATATTTTTTCACCCCTTTCCGATTAATAAAGAGTATTTTTAAAAGTAGAAAAAAATTAAGATAATAAACTTAATTTAATGAATTTCTTCGGTGCATGTAATTTTAACACAAAAAAAATATAAATTGAGACAAGAAAGTATAATTTCTTTCACAAAAATTTATTGAAGGATAAAAAAAGTTATGATAAATTCAATAATATAATTTATAAATAAAATTAAAATATTATTCTTTTTATCTTACAAATAATGCTAGGAAAATACAATAATAAGCTTGAACTCAAAGGTTGGGCTGATTTTTATGCAAAGCCCATACGTACCATCTAGTTATTTTTTTATTAAAAAAAAGGTAAAAGATGTCAGTGTGGGTGTCCATTAATATAAAATGTACGTACAAACAAAACTTGCACTCTTTAGTTGAAAACTCGGACACTTTGTCTGCTTTCTTTGACGCTAACCAATCTTTATTTATTAGCCATCCATTATCGTCTTTTATAATATTATAAACATCTTTTATATATTTATGCAAGTGGCTCTGACAAAAGATATAAATGAAGAAGAGAAGTGCATTCAAAATTCACAAAGGTTAAAAAAAATGTGCCTTTATTTTGTGATTCAGAAACTTTACAATTTATTTATAGAAATGCCTAAAGAAAAGATCGTATTGTACATTCAAATTTTTTAATAAACCAAGATGAGTAACCTTAAGTAAGAAGTAAAATAAAATAACTCTCTTTCGATCCCTAAATAATGATACGGATTATTACAAATTTATAATTATTATAGCATTAATATTGATAATTAATTCATGACCCAAAAACATTTATTTCCTTATCACACACTCAGGCACACTTGTGCACGCTAACCTTTTCCGACAAATTTCAAGGTATTTTTAAAATGTATAAATAATGGAATAAGAGAAAACTTTTAATCTCGACAAAATCTTAATTATATAAATATAAAATAGTACTCCATCCATTTTATAAAACATTTCTTAAAGTGATTTGGCATTTTAAAATATAAAATATTTTAATAAAAAATATTTTATTAATAATAATTATTTTAATATTATCCTTCATTGTTTTATTTCTCAAATAAATTTACCTCACTCTTTCTTATTAATGAAATGTACTTTTAAAAATTTATAGAAAAATTAAAATGATATGTTGTATTTAATAAACTTTATTTATATATGAAATTTTATTAAAAATGTTTTATAAATCAAGACGTACTAGTAAGATTTAAATTTGGTGAGCATTTCAAGTTTACTTACTCAATAAATACTTTATATGACATGAGAATAACCTTTAACGTTCAAAGATTTTGCCATAAAATATTTAAAAAGTACCAAAATTTAAATTTTTGAAGGGAATGAGAAATTTCTTGTGATGATTGTTTTAAATTTTTTTAAAAAATATTTTAATAATTTTTAAGTACTAAAATTCAATTATGGTTGATATACTTACTAAATAAGTGGAGTTAAGTCACTCAATGAATCTAAATATGAGTATAGAGCATTTTTGTTACTTCTATTACATTTATTTCCATATTTACTTTCACAACACAGAAAAAAAAATCTAAATTTATTTTATTACATTTTCTTCTTCTTCTTGTTTTCTTTAACTTCTATTCTCCGGATCCAAAATTTTCTACCCTAAAAAAATGAATTAGACTAAAATAATTAAACATGTATAAACGCGCAAATCTAAGATACATGCACTCCTGCAATAAATATGTAAATATATTAATATTAGGTTTTATTAAAAGTAACCCCACATTAATTGAGAATTAATTGAATTTATTATTTTTTCATCAATGGAATCTGGCTTTAAATTGAGTCATGGATCTCTCTCTGCGTCTCTCTCAAAGCAAATGTGGGGTTCGTTTCTGAAGAAGATCCCCATACATACTTAGTCAAATAAAGTCAGTAAAACTAAATCAACTTTACTGCACATTTTCTTTCTTCATTTTTTGGGAAACAAACACATGGGGACCAACCATTCAGGGGATCTCTAAGCAGAAACTTCAGGTCTGTTTCTGTATCACTCTTTCCCACTCCGGACTCTTCTCTCTCTGCGTTTTCTTCCCTTCACAGAAGATCAAATCTAAGCCACAATCATCCCTCGTTTCTGCAAATTTCTGCTTCTGAATCAACAACAAGAAGGTTAGATTCTTGGGGTTTTCTTAACTCCTTTTTTGACCCATCTCTGAGTTTTCCCCTTCTCTTTCTCTCAATTCCTGATTGAATCTGTGAATTTCTTGTGCGTTTTTGTGATCTGGTTTTTGAAGGAAGCCATTGATGGAGCAGAAACATGAGCTTCAGAGGCAGCACAGTGGGATTTGGAGATCCTTGAGAGATGGAGAGTTTGAAGAAGAAGAAGTTTGGGACGTTGTGAATGAAAAACCACAGTATAATAACAAGAACAATAATAAAAACCAGAGTTCCGGAATTTTCAAAACCGAACAGTCTCTTTCTTCTTCTTCTTCACCTTCACCTTCACCATCTCCTCCTTCTCTTCCTCTTTCTGTTCCCAGGCCACTCCCTTCCGCATCAAGAATGATCCCAAAATCTAACAGTAGCAAGAATATTCATACCAGCACTTATAATTCCACCATTGAAGGCAAGGTTCTTCAGCAATCAGCACCAGTGAACATCCCAGACTGGTCCAAGATCTATAACATCGATAAGAACAACAACAAGAAGAAGAATCAGAACAAGACCCTCAACAAGAGGGATTCAAGGCTTCAAGATTATGATTTTGAGGATGCTGATGAAGATGGTGGTGACAGTGAAGAAGTAATCAAGTATGGTGGAAACTTTAATGAAGAAGAAGATGATGAAGATGAAGATGATGAGTATGATGTGAAGTTACCACCACATGAGTTTATTGCAAGGAGGCTTGCAAGGACTCAGATTTCTTCATTCTCTGTGTTTGAAGGAGTTGGAAGGACTCTCAAAGGTAGGGATCTGAGCAAAGTGAGGAATGCTGTTCTTACAAAGACTGGTTTTCTTGAATCACTTTGAATTGAATATATTATTAATTATTAATTGGAGAGTCTTGAAGAAGAAATTGTGTGATGTATAGTTTGTGGTTTCAGTGTGTAGTTTCAGTGTTTGCTGCTTTAGCAATTCATGGACATTTCTGTGTTCATGGCTGTGTTAGTGAAAATAATAAGCATTCAAATTATTTGTGGTTCTGATATTTGTCAAGTCTGTGTTTGACAAATAAAATTCTCTCTCTCTCTCTCTCTCTCTCTTTTTTTGCCCTTTAACTTGGTTTTAATATTTGTCTCTCTTTCTTTTGGTACTTTTGATGCGTGATTGAATAATAAGAGCCAAAAGTGTGGCAATAATTTTTCATTGGATGGGCTCATGTGTGGAATCGAAATGTTTAGGTGGGGTGAAGTTAATTAATTAGATTATAGGTTATGTTCCCACTAGCTAATGTTCTGATTAGCAGTAATAATGGTTTTTATAAGTGAAAATTACTCTTAAGTCCTATAACATAAATAAGGAAAAGTTTCATGAAATAACAAAAGTACTATAAAGTCCTATATATCTTATGTTGAGATCCACTGTTCGTTATATTGAAATTGTCAACATTATTGAATAATTGTTTGGTGTTAAGTAGAGTTGTTAAGTTGATTGCTAAGTGACAACGATTAACAATTATCTAGTTATAAATGAAAGCTTCAGCTAAAGACATGACACTTTAAAATAAATTTGTAATTTTATAGGACTTTTTATATTTATATTACTTATGGGCATATGTGAGTGATTTTCACTTTTGGCAAAGCTAAGCACAATCTTTCTTTCTAATTGCTTTTTGAGACCCCAAGTTTTCTATCTCCATTCTATACGTGTATGTTGGGGACCCACAAAAAAAAAATTCTGGAGATTAATAGAATGAGCAACGTGGTTCAACAGGTCCGGAAATTAATCAAATTATTGATGTTGCTATATTGCCACGCTTTGTCCACGATATGACAATATAAAATGAAATAAAACAAATAAAATGGAATAGATAGATAATTTGTCGGAGGAGAGAATCTTTTATATCTGTGTACAAAAACAACAAAGATATAGTATATAGTTATCATTTTTCTCGTCAAAAAATATATAGCTATTGTGTTACGTAATAATTGTAATTGATTAAATATAATAAATATTATGTGATGTCCAAAAACTAGATTTAGCCCTGCGATGCAGGGACCAAGATGTGTTGTTAGATTTTTATAATAGAAATTTAATTAAATTTTTTTAATAAAAATATAAAGCATTTTTTAAAAAGTTGGCTGTTCAAAAGTATAAAATATTTTTATTTTTTTGAGATGTAATTATTACATTTTTTAAAAAAATACCCTATTAATAATGACTTTATATTTATTATAGGATATTTAATAAGATAAATATGAGAAGATAAGGTTAATTTAAAAGTAAGTAACTATTTTATTGAGAGATGAGAGTAGGTTAAAAATGTCTTATATTTTTAAAAAAGATGAAGTATTATTTTAATTTCATATAACAGAATTAAAGATGAGTTCTTTTGGCGTCATTTATAGGAAATAAATGTTATTTTTAATGTATTTATTAAAATTTTCAATAAATCAATAAAAGTACTTTTCAACAACTATACACTTAATATCAGTAATATCATAATCATATAATCCTCTAACTGGCTTATTTTAATAGTATATTAACACACTCTTCATTGTGGAGTTCAATATTTTCACCATATCGTACAACTATTTTTTTAGACGGTCATTATCCTTATAAATCCTTCTCCCTCTCTCTCTCCTCTCTCTCTCTCTCTCTCTCTCACACACATACACATCTCACCACAAGACTCATTAACAAAAAATTGAGAGCAGAAAATTAAAAACAAAGTTAATGAAGGCCAATTAGTAATTAATTATCATGAATAAAAAAATATCAAGTCCTTCATTATTATAGAAGTTATAGCAAATTTAAATTTGAAAAAAAAAAATTGCATTTGAAAAAAATAGGCCCCACTATTACGGTTCATTCTCCTGTTTCAGGAATAGTGAAACAATTTTGTATTTTACTATATGTACAAGATATAAGACATATGTAATAAATATTGCAAGGATCAAGTTTAATTTTTATTCAATTTCCCAACATTAACCTAGCTATATATAATCCAACTAGACACCTACAAGGAGGGCCTAAATTATTGAACCTTTTTTTTTTTACCAGCAAATTATTGAACGTTAATGGGGGAAATTGAAAGAGACTTGCGACCAACTTTATTGTCTTGAATTATTCATGGAAAAAACTCAGAGAAAAAAAAATACACTTTGTTTTATCATTATATATTAGAACTTAGAAGTGGGAGTGGGGAAAAAGAATTAGCGGTCTCTTTCAGTTTTTTATTTTGCTGCAGCAAAAAAAGATATATAATTTCCTCGAAGCTTCAACATGGACATGTTTACTTTACTTTTCCTAATTTTTTTATATATCTTTGAGTAAAATGCCTTCCACTTTCTTAAGCATGTTTAATGGTCGTATATTTTAGCTTATTTTTTTTAAAAAAAATAAGTTACCTTTAAAAATAATTAGAATTAAAAAATAGATTCCTGATTATTTTAAAAAATTACTTTAAATAGTTTGAAAATGATCTAATATAATAGATAAGAGATTATGTTTTAAAGAAGTGGGATATGTAAAGATATCATAAAATTTTAAAATAACGTAATAATAAATTATTTCGATAAAATAAAAATAAAAAATATTATAAAATTTAAAAATAACTAACTAATAATTACTTTTTTATTATTGTAATCAAATATAAAGTAATATCTACTTTTTATAAAATCTTTACAAGTCTTTTTGTAAAATTTTTAAACTACCTAAAAATTATTTATTTTTTAATCTTAAATAAATAGCCCTGGTCAAAAAAAAAATCTTAAATAAATAGGCCCTGAATTTATAGCATCTTTTATGATACATGCACACAAGTTTTGAACAAAAAGAATAAATAAAATTTATTTAAATTTTTCAGAATAGAATACAAATTATAAAAAAAATATCTAGAAAATTTTCAATTTCTAACAAGCGAGTAAAAAAATGAAACATAAGTGTTAATATTTTAATTAAATAGGTAGATTCATACATTTTGCAATATAAAAAAAAAAACAACTCATCTGATGTGATTTGTTATTTAATTTGTGTTTTATATAAATTATAATAACTAGAATACGGGTCAGTGTTTTGCATAAAGTATGCCAATGATCTTTATTCTTGTGTGCTGACATCATAGATTCGAGTTATGTCTACAAACATTTCGATGTTTGGCAAATAAAAAAAATGTTGTGCATAAAGTATGAAAAAAAAACTACAATAGTAACTGATTTGATATTATTATAATTAACTTTGTAATAAACAGGTTTGCCACTTACTAGTTTCTGGTCAAAGGAAACAGTGTATGAGATGTGAGGATTAATCATTAATAATTAGTCATTAGTCATTATAACCACCCAGATCACCGTATTATATTATATTTATATTGTACATAAAAATAAAAACAATCAGCATCTTATAAATAATTTAAATACTGTTTTCCCCACTACAAATTGTGTATTTGTCAAGTTTTTAACCCCTGTGTAAATGTTTTCTTTTGTTGGTGGAATATTCTTAATGCTTTTAAATATATACAGTTTCAAATTTCATTTATGTACTTCCTCTTTAGAAATAGTCAAAGAAATTCATTGGATAATGTCATTCCTATTTTTTTAAAAAAATTATTTTAATTTCTTTGTAAATTATTCGTTAATCTTTAATTTAAGTCACTCTTCTCTTTTTTTTTCCTGTATTAAAAAAATATAAATCAAATCATTAAAAATTAAATCGGTTATTAAACTGATCAATCCCTTGTCACTTGCTTCACTTATTTCTTTTTTTCTTTTTAACCTATTTCATTTTAAGGCAAGACTTTGTGTCAAATAAAATCAAAATTGTAGGTTAAGTGCTATTATTACCCAATTAATCAATGGCATCATACTATCAATATAATACACTTGATGTTTATCATCTAAACATAAATATTTTATTTATGTTAATATATAATTAATCTTAGATGTTTTTTAATTTTATAGAATAAAATATATTCGGATATAATAGTCCATCTGAATAACTTAGATATTTTCTTGAGTTAAAAGTCATGAATTATTTTAAAATGTTTTCCCAAAGTCTATATTAATGGAACAGTCAAAGGACATTCACTTTTAAGCCTAAGATATATACGATTCAATTTTTAAAATTCCATGTCAAGAAAAATTCAATTTTAAAATTTTAACCAAAATATCCCATATCTATTTTTTTTTTGTTTTAAATGAAGCCAAAAAATGTAAGTTTTGAATGAATTATATTTTAATCTACAAACAGTAAAATTTGACTGAAGTGTAATTTTTTTTTTAAATTTTGAGAGAAATTTATGGATATTTTAGACACAAAATATTGAGATAACTTTTAGTAAAATTCATGGAATTTCCCTATTATTTACTATTTTAAGAATTTCAACGGCATAGCTTATCATGGGCCCCATGCATGTTCATTGTAACCATTAGTTATACCTTGTTCAATAATAAAAGAAAGGGGCTATATTTTTATGTATTGCATACAGTTTTAGTTGAGTGATATGACATTTTTAAATACCATGTAAATGATAATTACTTGTTATATTTATATATTTTACATTCATGCTAGTGTTATAACAATGACTCAAACTGAAAATCAATATTTTTGTGTGCATAAGTTTGCTTATATTGAAAAAGAAATTAAATTGATTATGTGAAACTGGGAAGTAAAATTCAAGTAGTAATGAATTAATTAAGAAAATTATTTCTACCTTTTAACATAAAGAAAAAGCACAAAGTCATTTCAATTTTATAGAAATGAATACTTTGACACCCTGAGTTTTTAAAAAGTCATTTCTCCACATGTTTACATCACAAAGACGTGACCTCTTTTATTAATTTTTTTATATTAAATATTTACTTCATCAAAATAACTTAAATTATTTAGTTAGATACTTTATAAATATATATATATATATTATAATTTATTTTTTAATTTTTAAATGTGAAAATTTTTTTATATTTTAATATTTTTTTTACTATTTTTTTCATGTTCTTCTTCTTGCCTAGGTTTGTAATTTTTTGAAGTTTTAAATATTACAGGTTTATTAAATTTCTCCTTCTTTCTCTTTTTTAATCTCCTTCTCTCTCTCTCTCTTTTTGTTTTTTTATCCTCAATTAAATGGCTCGAATATCATATTAGATTTATTATATTAAGTATGTTTAAAGATAGTATACTCTATTAAAATAGCTTAAACTATTTGGTTAGATATTTTCTAAACTTATATATTTATAATCTGTCTTTTAATATTTAAATGTGAGAATTTTTTTATATTTTAATGCATTTTGTATTTTGAGATGATCATAATGAAGTTTTACCAGCAAATGAAAGCTCACTTCAATGTCATTTTACACTTTAATCACATTGTCTGAATTTAGTTAAATACTCAGTGGACAAATATTAGTGACTTTAGATTTTTGCCCCGAATAAATAAATAGTATTTTTTAAAAAAAAGAATACCACTGTTATGTTAATGAATTAATTTATGGGGGAATTACGTATAGGTTTAGCTGTTATTATGTTATACTCAATTACTTTTGTAAGAGACTTGATTGTGATTCTTTTTTAATTTATTCATAAATAACTTTATTGAATTCAAACCATAAAGGCACAAAGTCATGTAAAGTGGTATAAAAATAAGCAATAACTTCATTGAAACTTCTGAGGAAAAAAAACTTCATTGAAAAATAGATTTTTTAAAAAAATGTTGAAGAAGTTTTTGTCAATTTTTTTATTCAACTCAAACCGTCAGATAGTTGGAATAATAAGTTTTCTAAAGTTAACATTTATTCTAATTCTTTTAAAGTTCTCACACTTATTTATTGTGATTTCAACAACATTCATTTTCTCTCTTAAACCATCATGAAAATCATAAATTTTATTATAAAAGATTGCAGATCACATTCAAATACGTATTTAAAGAAGTTAATAATTATGTAGACTGACTTGCACGTCAAGTTCTTAACAATAGTCTAAATATTAAAATTTTAAACAAGTTAACTTTTGGATGCAAAAGTTTTTTGAATTTTGATTTAACTTAACTATTGTCATTCGCACGGTTTTTGTTATGATTTTCCTCATTACAAAAAAACCCCTTGCAATTCCTTTTGGCAAAATTCTCAATTCCTCTATTCTTTTTCGCAAACCTCTCCTCTATCTTCTTACCAAAAAAAAAAACTCTTTTTTCTATGAAACCCTTAAAATGTTGCATGCATTTAAAAAAAATGAAAAACATAATTTTAAATTCATATACTTTTATCTTTTATTATTTTAAGTCTTTACACTTTCTCTCTTAAACCATCACAAAAACTATAAATTTTATTATAAAAGATTGCAGATCACATTTGAACACATTTTTAGAGAAGTCAATAATTATGTGTACTAACTTGCATGTCAAGTTTTAAGCAATAGCCCAAATATTAAGATTTTAAACAAGTCATTTTTAGGGTGCAAAGCTTTTTGAATTTTGATTTGACTTAACTATTGTCATTCGCACGGTTTTTGTCATGGCTTTTCTCATTTTTTTTTAAAAAACTTTGCAATTCCTTTTGGCAAAATTCTCAATTCCTGTGTTTCTTCTTCGCAAACCTCTCCTTTATCTTCTTTCACAAAAAAAAAAAAACCTTCTTTTTCTATAAAACCCTTAAAATATTGCACGTGTTTAAAAAAAATAAAGAAAAAATATAACTTTAGGTTTCTATATTTTTATTTTTCATTATTTTAGATCCTTGCATTTTATTCACGAAAGGACTTAAAACAATAAAAAAATAAAAGTGTAGGAACTTAAGACAGTAAAAAAAAAACAAAGACTAATAGCAAAATGCAGAAATCTAAAACAATGTTTTCCAAAAATAAATTATTATCTTCTCTCTTGAAGGATGAACTGTTATAGTATTCTCTTTTATTTAAAAATTCACATTTATTTTAATGATATAAAAGGATAACCAGAAAAATATATCTTATTAATCATACAATAATTTTTAAATTGTTATTGATGAATATTATTTTATGTTAAAAACAATTACTTTACTTTGTTTAGTTTTATTAAATTTATGGTAATGCCTAAAAATATTATTTTTGAGATATAAATTACTGTCTTCAAATTATTTAATTAATCTCTTCAAATTATTTAATTAATATGAAAGTGTTACTATTTGATATGTCCCTTGTTTTGATCAATTTATTATTTACACAAAAGTAAGACAAGTGCATGGTATGGAATTTTATAACCCCCAATAAAATTGATCAAACAAGAAAGCTCATTAGAATTCATAGCTTTCAAGATATTTAATGGTACACAACTAAGAAGAAAGTTTCATTTCTCTGTGAACCAATCTCAGCAGAGTCCAGGTAAGGTATCCCATGAGAAGAAACCAGGATTTTCATTAGGGTTTGCCGTGGTGTTGACAGGAATCAACGAAGTGATAGGCTTGAAGTCAAGTTCAAAATTATCATCACCCATTATAGCACCAGAAGTTTCAATATTGGAGGCTTGTACAGTTATGTCATTGTGCCATTCAGGAACCTGAATGGTGGAAGGCATTTCAGATATCAGTGTGGAAAGATCATTCATGGATTTGCTCATGTCTGATGGTTCTGACTTTGGTTGCAGTCCTGCATATACCATATGTAAGAGTAATCAATACCACAAACCATTTCTAAAACTAAGCTTCTCTATTGTAAGACAGCTTATGCAACAATAAGCCTTATCCTAGAAGATAGAGTCGGTTATATAAATTGCACAACATCATTATGCTCTATTAACAACCAAATCTATCGAAATGTTGCAAGATAATTTATAAATATAAAAAATCTCACAAGGCCTGCTCTTCATTATCCATAGTAAATAATGTGACTTATTTTTCAAACTCTATGCAATGCATGAAGACCCATGCTAGAGGTTTCAAGAAAAATTTGATCCTGCAAAGCAATTGAGGAACCAAACCAAATGAATCTAAGATATAGACAAGACACTATCAGCAGCAAATCAATAGAATGTGTTACCTGAAGACCAGTAAACTGAGCTTTGCGGCAAATCATCCAAGCCCATATATCCATCTAGGAAACCATTTCCTTCACTGAAACTCGAATATGTCCGTTTCTTCAAATTCTGGCCAGAAACCAATACTTGAGCTTCCAGGAGAAGATCTCCCAGCAGGTCGTTATTGGATTGGGAAAATTGGTTTGAAGGGAGCTCCATTTTGGTGGACAAAATGGAAGATGAGCTTGGAACCCCGGGAACTGAAGATGATGACTCTAACGGGGACTGGAAGATTTGACATGAACTCGAATTAAATTGGGATGGAAAGTTGAGTCCATCAAGATCCACTAATGGGGTAGTTAATTGTGCATCTGGGAGGGACAAAGAGGTACGGCAACGTTTGGAATGAAGGGGAGCGATATGTAATGAAGAAGTAGGCTGGTGAGAGGGGAAGGAAAGAAAGGAAGAAGAAGACAGAGAATTGGGGTCCAAGAAAGGGGTGTGAGTGGAATAGGAGGATCCTGCATGGAAGGAAGACAGAGGATAGGGGTTCTGAATATAATAATCCAATTTCGTAGCAGTGGATCCTGTGAATGGTCGTGTGCAAGAGGTGGCTGGGGCTGCAGATGTGGTTGTTTGATCAGAATCACTGGAATAAAGTGGCAGGCCTTGCCTTTGCCGACGCTTCACCCTTGTGTTCCAGTAGTTCTTAATTTCATTGTCTGTTCGCCCAGGTAACTACACAGCAGAGAAAGAAACTTCAGGGATCAAAACCAGAGTCCATGGACAATCAAGGAACACCGCCCAGAAAAGGAAAAGAGATTAGCAAAGTACCAAACCATTCATGTTCGAAAAAATAAAGTACTAAAGACCCAAAAAAAAAAAAAAGCCGTGTATATAAATAAATCTATTAATAACAATTTAAGGATCTGGATAAAAATCAAAATTTCTCAAAAGAACCACAGAAAGAAGTTACAACTGATATTTTCAAAATCATCACTCATACTTCCCGAAATCATGACCATATCATTGACACCTTACACAATTACTCTCATCAATAAAAATTAAAAACATCTTTATAATATCCAAAAAGTTAAGTTGTAGCAATTACTTATTTCTATGGTTTTTGAGAGGTTTTTATAATATCTATAAGATCAAGTTATAATTTTAAGATGAATGGTAACTTTTAAGAAATGTAACTTCTATTTAATTATTTATGATCTTTGAGAAAGAAAGCTAATTTTGTATACTTTTAATTCTCATTGATATAAATTAGGTATCTTTAGCATTCATTTCTTCACATGCGTCATGCTCATGTCAAACAACGTCATTCGTAAATTATATCTCCTGTTCATGACTGTGTTTGTACTTCCTAACAGGTAAATAAGTTGGATTTGGATTCGGCTCAGCTTTCGAATCAGAATCAAAACCTAGGTGCAAAACAGTAAGAACAATGTAGGAACATTTAGTGTTTGCAATAACACTTACGAGAGTGGCCATTCGAGCCCATTTGTTGCCAAACTGAGCATGAAGCTCCAGAATGAGCTTCTCTTCCTCAGGAGAGAAAGCTCCCTTCTTCAGATTGGGGCGTAAATGGTTCGTCCATCTCAACCTACAGCTCTTGCCACAGCGAGCCAAACCCGTATTCCTTTGCACCGCGTTCCAATTCCCTTCACCATGCTTCGTCACATAATCAATAAGCACCGCATCCTCCGCCGCTGTCCATGGACCCTTCTTGAGGACAACCTCCTCCGCTGCTGCCGTTGCCCCACCGGCACCCTCACCACCACCATTTCCTTCGCCAACGCCGATAACCGAAGGTAACCCATGTTCATTATTCTCCTCATCGTTATGACTATTCACGTTTGCCATCTGCTGTTCCCTAACAATGTAACACCCCCAAGGCAATAATCACCAGAAAAATCGAATCAAATCGATGCCGAAAAATCTCGCAGTGTATATATATCGATCAATGATACTAATTTGAAATTGCCTCAGAAACAGAGGATTATTAGGAAGAGAGAATGCCCAACAACATCGACAACGACCTGGAGATCTGATTATTAAGGGTTACAGAGGCATTCCACTCAACCGACCGTAGAAGGAGAAAGATTAACAAGCAGAAGTGGCGATGAAGGTGAAGATGATGGTGGCGGAGGGTATCTGCGGGGCCCACGAAACAACAACCCGATCGGAAAATCCTGAATTTCGGGGTTTTCGAGGGAACATTGGGGGGAAGGAGGGGGTGAGATTTCTAGGGTTAGGTTTTCCGATTGCTTCTCGAAATTAACGGTGGTGAAGGACACACGCGCTTTGAATTGAGCTGGTTCTTAGTCCAAGTCTGTCTGATTCACTCAAACTCTGACATTACAGCAAAAAGGTGCGAAGCAACGAGGAAATTGCTGGATTTGGAAAATCCAAATCAGAAAGAACAAAGAGTGTTCATCGTCATAGCAATGGGGCTGCCAGACGTTCTTGAGTCTAACAGCCAGAGGGGACATTTGAAGCAAACACAGCTTTTATAAACCTACCAAGTTCTAAAGTTAGTTAATTCCGGTCATTGTCTTGAATTTGGAAAACTTCAGGAAAAATTACATGTGATGACCCGGAGTTTTAAAAATTCACTCTCATGCACTGCTTTATTTATGAATTATTACCGTGTTTTATTGAAATAAAAATATATTAAGATTTATTAATTATATTTAACATTTTATCTCTCATAAATATACATATTTTAATAGCAAATTTTCTCTTACCAACATTTAATAATAAAAGGGGAGATATTTGATAAAAAAAAATCAGTGGCATGTTTTATAAAATAATTTAGACCGAAAAAATTCTTTAATGACACAGATTTTTAAAAATATAAGTTGAAACATCCCGTTAGATATCACACATCTCATCAATCAGGTAAAAAATGAATCAATTTTCTTTCATAAATCAAATTTTAACACACCAAGCTAACATATGAAATGCAGTAAGAATTAAAATAAATGATTTGTATAATTCAATAATTATTATAAAAGGTTGTTAAAAGTTGCTACTGATGGACTCAATTTCATAATTAGTTCTTCCTCTTATTTCCCCTCTTATACTAACATTGGTAGACCCACAAGAACTTTGGGAGGGAAATAACTAGACAGAGAAGACACCATCAAGAGTGATGATGCATTTTTGGCATCTCAATAATAATATTTTAAGTTTTTTTTTATCATATGAATTTTCATTTTCCCCCCATGATAGTGTTCTATTTTAAGAGGAGAAAATCAATAGAAAGGTCAACAAGTGCATAACTTTCTTCATAGGAACTATGCCAATTTAACCTGTGGTTTTAGTTATAGTGTTTCTTGGCAAAACTATTCTAATTTAACTATGTCATTATAGTGTTTTCTGGCTCGACCCGGACTAATTGGGATCTAATATGGCCTGCGGATGCGAAGCAAAATAGTACACAAGGTGGGAGAAAGAAAGAAAAAAAAAAGGAAATGAAAGATTAAAAAAATTATCAGACTTTTAATTCTTGACTTTAATATTAATTTTCATGGCGTCTCATATAATAAATATCGCTTATACAAGTCTTTTAGCATATTTTTCTCTGGTTAAATTCTTCTACACGTGTTTCAAAGTTTAGAAAAGGATTTTATTAAAAAAAATTAGAGAAAGAAATGCAGCTTGGAAATTATTACGTCACTGCATCCTCATCGTGATGTAGTTAGGTTTGCCCCAGTTGTTATCTTGACTGCATCAATAGTTCTTTCCCCCCAATTTTTTTTTTGTTACAAGAATAAATGGATCTACATTTAAAAAATATATATATATATATATATATTACAGCATGAATGTATAGTTTCGTGATCTGTATAAGTTGGGATCAGTTTTATTGTTCATTATCTATAAACGTTATAACTTATTATAATTTTTTATATCATATACAGATTTTTTATATTTTACTTTTTATTTCAACAATTCCTTAAAATTCAGGTCATGGAATAACTTTCATATATTTTAAATTATGTGTGAATAAAATTTAATATGCTGTATTTATTTGGTGAAATAATATGTTTATAAAAAGTATTTATATTGTCAATGGTAAATTAAACAAAAATGGCTAAGGATTTGGAAGAGAATTAGAATATACAGTAAGTTGTGATTGAATAAAACTGTTTGCGATAGTGATATGTCATTAATCCTTTAAAGCGGGCATCTAATTATATTCCTTGCATGTCCACTTCCAAACAAGTTTGTTAATGCTATCAAAAGAGGGGGAAAAAAACCAAGTGGATGTGACACAAAATGATAATCAGGGACGAATAAAGAATTCATCACATGAGGGTCATAATTGAAATTTTATCTAAATGTGAGAGCCACAATTGAAATTTATCCAAATGTAAGAAGCTATTAGCTAACAGTGTTTTTTTACATTTTTTTATAAACAAAGTTATACTTATTTTAAAAAAATTCTGGAGTATAGTGGGACCACAGCCCTATTAGCCCCCTAAATTCGTCACTAATGATAGCAATTTGGGTCATTTAAGTTTTATTTTAGCTTTTGACTTCTAGACAAGTGTATAGAAAAACATTACTTAAAAAAAGATAACATCTTAAATAGTTTTCAAATTTTTTAAGAGATTGATTTTATGGTTGTTAGTTGTGAAAATATTTTGAATAATTAAAAAAATCTTTTTAATATGTTATAAGTATGCTAATGACATCATATAATTTAAAATTGAAAACTTTATCGCGAAATTATAAATACTATAAAAATTTCATACAGCCACCTAAACGAAAGACTACCTATTTGTGTGGCTGTAAAAACCACCTATTTAAACACACAGTACATGTAAATGACCTGATAGTATCAAATAACATATTATTTTGATTATATTTATGAGTTGTTTTTAACATGTTTTATAGAGTCAAAAAAATATTTAAGGCCTGTTTGGTTTTTATTCTTATTTATTGTTTTTAAAAATTATTTTGTAATACAGTTTTTAAAATTATTTTTTACAACAAAATGAAATGAAAATTTGTTTGATTATTTCCATTAAAAAATGGACCAATAATGATATTTATTGCAATTAATGATGACAATTAATAATAAAAATTATTCAAGATAACTATAATTTTTAATAATCAAGTGTAATGTATTTAAAAAACAACAAAAAATAAAAAGAGAACAACTTGAAGTTGTTAAAAACAAAAACTAAAAACAGTTTTGAAAGCAATTAAGTGAAAAACACTTATCCAAACAAATTTTTTAAATTTTCTGATTTCAAAACCAAAAAATAATTTTTAAAAACAAACAGGCTCTTAAACTTATTAATTGTATTTAAAAATTTAATAAATTTTTAACTTTACTCTTATTAAATATACATTTTTAATAATATATTTTCTCTCACCAATGTTTAATAATGGAAAAAAATTATGATAAAAAATTAATGATATAATTTATAAATATGATTAAAAAATTTTCTATGCTGTACAAATAAGGCTGAGGGAGTATTCTATAAAAGAATCATCGAAAATAAAAAGACAAATACTTCCTGCAATCATATTTATAAAGTGTAATTAATTAATTTCATAATTTTTAAGGAGTCGCGGTCAATACCTTAAAATTATAAAAAAATATTTTCTAATTTTGTCCTCCACGAAAATTAATAATCCTAATAAAATTTTTTATAAAAAATTAAAAGCATGTCACAACTTTTTTTTGTACAACAACTTATTGTAATTAATGAGGGGTAAGGTTAAAAACAAAAAACTTTTTGGCCAGCAAGTTAAAAAAAAAAAAAGAAATTAAGCCCTACATATCTGTCCTATGTTCTGAACCAAATAAGATCTTCAAACTTTGGCCAAGGAGCATAACACAACAACTTAATGCAGGGGAAAAAAAAAAAAATTGAGGTGCCAAAGCAGTTGAGTCTAACACGTTTCCTTGTTACTAACAAATTAAATAAATAAAATCTTTGACCAAAGAGATTTCACATTTCAGAAAAAGTCCAAAATGTATTAATTTTTTTTTCCTCACATATTTTTCAAAGACAACATCGTTAATCTCTGAACACTAAAATTCCCCAAAAAGAAAAAGATAAAAAGAAAAATGGGCCTATCAACATTGACCAAAACACACGCAAATGTCTGCAACAACCTCTAATGAATATTATATCTATATCTATATATATATATATATATATATATATCTGAATTAAAACTCATATCTCATTTTTCATCAATGGCTTTGTATTTATCAAACATGTTTGGCTGCTTCTCTGAGTCATCGTCGTCTTCAGGATCCAAAAGCTCATACGTATGCAATGGAGATGTTTGTGTTCTGAGAAACCAGAAAGAAAATCCTGCCCAGAAAATCTCCAACAATAAGAAGCCAAAGCATAGACTTCGGATTTCATTTGCTCGCCTTTCTGCTTCAAGAAAGTCTCCAACTTCATAGATGCTTCAGATGAATGAATCAGATCAGTTTGGTGACTAATAATGATTCTGCAATATGTAATTCTCACTTTGTTATATAATTGTTATGTATGTGTGTAAGTCTATCTCGTATATACAGTTTGTGAGCTTTTCATCATCATCGATCTTGACTCTGCAGAGAAAATTTTTATCTCACTTCGGTTCATGTGTATGTTAAAATCTGATTTGGATAATATGACGTGAATCAAAACTATATATACTGAAAATCTGGTAACTGTTGTTGGTTCATTTTTTCTTTATAATATCTTGTAATCATCATCATAGGTATTGAAAACCAGAACAATTATTAAATCGGTCAAGACATTAGTTTAAAGATTAATAATTAAAATTATAATCAAATTAGTTATAAATAAAATATTTTATTAAACTAATCAAGATACTAATTTAATGATTTAGTAATTTGACTGAATAAGTTTGATCTGAATTTACATGCTATGATCATCATACATATAAGAGTAGTTGTTTCTTTATTTATTTGCTTTGCTTCAAAGTTTTGAGTTTGACATCTTATTGAACTAATCAAGATACTTATTTAATAGTTTAGCAATTTAATCGGACAAGTTTGATCTGAATTTACATACTATAATCATCATACATATAACAGCAGTTGTTTCTCTATATTTATATGCTTTGCATCAAAGTTATGAGTTTGTCCTGTTTTGAATCATTTCTTTGGCTGGGCCAATTTTAGCCATGTAAAGTTAAACGTAAACAGTATTACAAAGGCTTGTTAACTACTTAACATAAATAAAGAGTCAGTGTAAATTAGTTAAACATATAAAAAGAACTTTTATGTTAGGATCATTATAGGATCAAATTATTGTAAAAGCAATTATGTTTATTGTTTTCATAATTGTAAAAATATTAAGATATCACTTGCTGGTCAAAAGGGGGGGAACAGTATTACTCATTTCTTAGATTTTGTGTAATGTCCAAGGCCTCCTCCTAGTTTGTATTGAAAATTAAAATTATTATTCTTGAACATTAAAA